TTGCACACACCTCTTTAATCTCTGAAGAAGGCACCTTCTTCACTCCCTCCTCTGAAGTAAGTTCCTCAGCTGCAGTCTGTTGCTGTTTGAGATGAAGCTCTTGCAGCTCTTCAGTGGTTAGCTCTTCATTGTGGTCCTCCACCAACTCTTCCACATTCTTGCCATTCACCTCCAACCCCAAGGACTTCCCCAGTGCCACAACAGAGTCCATAGGGTTGGCAGTGCCTCAAACCCTTCAAAATCCCTTTTTTGGAAACGAACTGGCCACAGTTTTCTCCAAGCAGAGTTCAAAGTCCTGGAAGTCACTCCCTCCCAAGCCTTACCTATAAGGCTTATGCAGTGGAGGATAGTGAAGTGATTCCTCCAGAACTGTCTTAGGGTCACCTTAGTGCCTGATGTCATTTTAAAGCACTTTTGAAACTGCTTTTGTATAGTTTTTTGTGAAGTTAGAAATGACCTGCTGGTCCATGGGCTGGAGGAGAGGAGTGGTGTTAGGAGGCAAGAACTTCACTGTGATAAATTGAAGTCCCTAAACACTTGGTCTTGCAAGTCTGGAGGATGTGCAGGAGCATTGTCCAGTAACAGGAGGCACTTGAGTGGCAATTTCTTTTCCAGGAGGTATTTTTTCCACACTTGGGCCAAACACATCTTTAACCCACTCTTTGAAAATTTGCCTTGTAACCCATGCCTTATGATTAACTTTCCATATCACACACAATCTATTCTTCATGACATTGTTTTTCTTGAACACTGGGATTTTCTGAGTGATATATCCCCACTAGCATTACCACACAACAAAAGAGTAAGCCTGTCTTTCATAGGCTTGTGTCCTGGCAGTGCCTTTTCCTCCTGGGTAATGTAGGTCCTGTTTGGCATTTTCTTCCAAAACAGGCCTGTTTCATCACAATTGAACACTTGTTGGTTTTTGAACCCTTCAGCCTTTACATAGTCCTGGAACTCATGAACATACTTTTCAGCCACACATTTGTCAGAACCTGCAGCCTCACCATGCCTTACAACACTGTGTATGCCAATATGCTTCTTAAATCTATCAAACCATCCTTTGCTGGCCCTAAATTCACAAACTGCATTTTCTTTGCAAGATCCTCATGCAACTGCCTTACCTTCTCACAAATAATACACTCCATAACACTGTCTCCCACTAATTCTTTTTCCTTAATCCACAATAATAATAACTTTTCCATCTCTTCCATTATTGGTGGCCTTTGTTTAGTTAGACAAGTTACTCCTTTTGCAACATTTGCATCTTTGATTTGTTCTTTCTTTGCCAGGATGGATGTAATTGTTGATTTATTCTTGCTGTACATCCTGGCAAGTTCATACCACTTTCAAACTTTTGTATCACTTCACGTTTAAATTCCATGGTGTTTCTCACTTTCTTTGCCACAGGAACTTTCTTTGGAGCCATGGTTCCTTATTTCACAGTTGCACTGCAAAAGTAACACAAACTACAATGGGAAATAAGCAAAAAGTTTGGATGTATAAGCAGAAGCTTCCTCAGCCACCGAGAGACAAAGCCAAACTGATGCGCAAGCAGCCCCAGCCAGCAGATGGACGTGTCCCAAATGGCCGATAACAGGGCGCCGAAAAACCAACCAATAACCGACTTGGCCGATAACCGGGGGTCCACTGTATTATTTTCTGTCTTCTTTCAACACACCAGCTGTATCCCACCGAGGCGGGGTGGCCCAAAAGGAAAAACGAAAGTTTCTCCTCTTACATTTAGTAATATATATAGAGAGAAGGGGTTACTAGCCCCTTGCTCCCTATTTTCTGTCTATTAATGATTAATACCTAATTAGGATATCACTTTTACCTCCTACCTTCTCATCTCCTTGAGAAGATATTTAGACCTCCCCGTTGCTATTCCCTACGCTGATATCACTGAATGATAATGAGATCTGGATAACCTTTCACCATATTGCAGTAATGAACAGATCCATAGTAAATTTCTAGGATGTCCTATCTAATGAGAGCTACCGAGCCTGGGAATTTGAGCTACCCTCTGCTTCCTTTGAACAAACTTGACTGCCTTCCATTCCCAATTTCCCCAACACTGTATGATCCTATGGGTTTAGCACTTCCTCAAAAATATAGGAAGAAAGGATGGGAATATTAGCAGTTTGGAGGGACATCTGAACTGTAGTACCTGTGTGCCTCTGGAAAGAGTGATAGAGTGAATGATGGTAAAAGTGTTTCTTCTCTTTCGAGTCACCCTACTTCAGTGGGAGACAGCTGGTGGTTAAAAAAAATAATAATAATAATGAAGATACCTAGTGCATATCAGATTACCCTGGATTCCAACTCCCAATACTGCTAAGAACAGGTTTAAGATTTGCATCAGTAGCATTAGAAATTCTCCAAGACAATTTTTTTCTTTCTTTTCAATTGCTACACCTATTATTCAAGTTAAATTTACTACACATTCTCTTATGCTGGACATTCCAATATACTTAATAATAATAATTTTTGCTTGTCTGCACTTCAGTGATTACTGCCTCATTGCTCACAATGATCATATCTAGTGTACTATCCATTCTAGCTGGTTCTACTAATTACTGACTTAACACATAATGTATGACAGAATCTTAGGAGTTCTGATATGTGCTCATTGATGTAAAGCATTTACAGTTACTGATTCTGATACAAATTTATCTAACATTTTCCTCCACCTTAAACTGTTAGCAAGATAAAAGTTTTTGCAGGATTTCCTAGTCCTTGTATTTCACATTGCTGACATCAGTTTGTATTATGAAAATAAGTATCAGATTATATTTTCACCCTGCTTTGGTAGGAAATGGACTATGTGTTAAAGAAAAAAATTCTACTCAGACTTCTAATACATATGCCAACTATATCTTATAATGAGTATAGTTATAGCTAATATTCACATGTTGAGCTACTTCTCCCTGAAACTTATATACTTTCATATCAATATCTCCATGGGGAAGTGGAGAAGAATTCCTCCTCCGTAAGCCATGCGTGTCGTAAGAAGATACTTCAATGCAGGAAGCAAGGGGCTAGTAACCTCTTCTCCTACATTACTAATTTTAAAAAGAAAAACAAAAGCTTTTCTTTTTAGGTCACCCTGCCTTGATAGGATATGGCTGGATCAGTGAAAATAAAAACAACTTTTGTTTCTTATTTTTCAGGTCATCCTGTCTTGGTGGGAGATGGCCAGTGTGTTAAAAAAAAAAAAAGGTGTCTAGATTTTGTTGTTCATGAAACCCTTGAATGGTTTTCTAGAAAAGCTCCAAAAATGACGTTTGCTTCTGTGAGGGCATTTACGAAAGGAGTTTTTTTTCCTTTGTTTTTAACAGATGAATGTTAACAAAAAGAAAGTTTTCACTAAAAAACAAACTTAGAAGAGAAACTTATGATAATCTTTTGGTTTATCTTGGACAACTGTTAAATCACAATGAGGCAAGAAAATTAGAAAAGGCCAGGATGTATATATGGGAGGGGACGGGATATTGTGACTTTTTATTCTTTCAAGAAAGTTATTGAATATGGGTTATATTGAAATAGTAAGTTTTGCAAGTCTGCTATTAAATGTCCCAGCACTGCAGTCTTAGATTCCCACCACACCAAAAGCAAGCAAAGTTGCAGATCTGGAGACCACGAAGAACTTTTATAGAGTATCAATTCAGCCACTTAATTACTGGGAACAGCTAAACTTCCCCACAGAATAAAGGCAAGAAAGATCTACCATGATTTTCATGTGGAATATCCTGGAGGGACTAGTTCAAAATCGACATACTACTGAAATAGTTCCCTTAGGAGAGCAAAATGTACTGTAGAAAAACAGAACTACAATAAACAGACTTTCCACAGCCAATTATTGAAAAGTATTTTCACAAAACCACAATCTTTCGATTGTACTCTCAGATAAACTAAACTTAATCCCTTTTGATTCTTTCTCATCCAAACTCTTCTAACCCTTTTAACTTTGTATCTCTCAGCACTTATTTTCAAAACAAAAGCAATCAGTCTTCTCTTTACATCCACAATACATTCACTAAAAGCCAAATGACCAAATTTCAACACTTTTTTTTTTAATCTTGTTTTGTTATTAGTTGCAGGAATAAGGGTAACCAGCCCTTGTCTTAGGCAATTTCATCACCTACAACTTGCATGACTATGGAGGAAGATTTTTTAACCTGCTTTCCCCAAGGAACTGGAAAAAATGTTAGTTTTGAGAAACAGATTTAAAAAAGAGGTACAGTAAGAGAGTAAACGCATTAGGTACAGTAAGAGAGTAAATGCATTAAGTGTATAATGCATGTAAGGTTGAGTTATTGAGTCCAGCCATACATGATCATCAGACATAGAAAAAAGCAGCAATTCTGTCAGAACAAAATATTCAACAAGCTTCCTTTCTCTCATACATAATAGTACAGCAGTACTTCCCTGGACTGTTGCTGTCAATCAATCCCCTACCAAGATGAATATTCTCACTGATAATTCAACACAAGTTATGCAGGGTCTGTAGATTAAGATCATGCAAATTTCTAAAGATGCATGAAATACACTGGTAAAAAAGCAACATTTTAAAAAATACCTTTGTGTTAAATTTTAATATCTTAAAAAATATTAGTACCGTACCTTATAAAGTTTCGCCAATATACAATTTAGCTAGTTCAAGGTGTTTCTATGTGCTGCCCATTTCATGAGATAATAGCTAGCTCCAGTAATCTACTGATGCAAAGTACAGGTACTACTGTATATATCTTAGTCCTGTTTCTCCCTGATGCTTCAAATTTTCTGCTGCACTACTTTTATTGTTACTACTAGCTTTAAAAAATGCAGTGTGTATATATGAAGTTTTAAACTCGCATTACTAGCAGTGCTATAATCAAATAGTATAGAGCAGTTGGTATAACAAATTTCTAGCAAATACTACAATTGTTCATATTACTCTTGCAGAGACGATATTTTCTACTTAAAATTACCAACTTGATTTTACTTCTGAAAGGTACCTCCATTTATTTTAATAAATAAATGAGAAGAAAATGCATATCTCTGGATTTATGATTTAAGAAGTTTGCCAGCTTTCTCATTAGCTTCAGTAACATGAGTCACGTTGGAGGTGCCCTATAATGAGAGAAAAAAGCAAAGGTTACGTAAAATTTTACATACTATCAATGAAATCAAGATTAGGGTTACCAAAAGCTGAGAATTTTCCATTATAATGAATGTTAATGCATTCTTACTTTCACATTATTGACGTGGACAAGTACCTATGCAAAGTTCTACTCTTTGTTTACTCTTGAGATTTCTTAAGTTTCACAGTTTCATGTATCCCATGGCCTTTCACTTTTAACTCTACTTCAGATTTAGGCATTAATGTGTCTTCTACATTCACATCATTCTCATGTTTATGTAGAATAAACTTACACAAAAATGAAAGCTAAGACACAAGACAGAGATTCCATTTACAAATCTCCTGATCTTTTTCTGTTACAACGGTAGACTAGTACAAATTTCCAAATATCAGTATTTATCTTTTTTTTATTTAAATCGTACAAAAAAATGACCAGTATATCTGGCTAATAAAGAGAATTAAGAGACAAATGTTCTCTTGGTGGTACTGTACTGCAGTCTACACTCAGTGCATATTGCTTATGTATAACAACTTGCTTCAATATTTTCTATTATGGAAAGATTGTTAATGTATTTCACCTTATAAATAACTTGGTTGACTTGCTCTTCAGGTCCGTGGAGGGCCCATGTATTGGCTATCCTTCCTACAGTATTTCCCAATATGACAGAAAAAATTAATCTACACTCGTAGCTTTTTTGCTGCATGATATTTTCTTTTGGAAAAGCTGAAAATCATGAAAGACTATTATATATACTAAATTTTTTTATATAAAATAATATGGAATAAGCTGTGGATTACATACCTTGGCATTGATTCTGGTAATTTGTCTATTCTGGTTTTCTATTTCAGAGCCCATATCGATAGCCATGTTACGTAGGTTGCCAATCATGGTGTTGACCTGGCCCATGTTGTCCTCCATCTCATCTTCACGAGCATCATTACTAATGCTGTGTAAATGTTGTCCAATTAGAAAATATATAATGATTCATAACACACTGCTAAGTATTTCAAATGACATGAATTGCATTATAGGTTACTCAAATTCAGCAGTGTTATTTAGATCACAGGAAAATATGCAATGTGGGAAAAAACAGTGAATGAAAATAAACAAGAGCAATGAAATAGGAAAGAATCATGCAATACTACTTTCAGTCAAGTTTGTGAAATAATCATGCAAAGAAAAGAAGTAACACTAGCCTGCTATAGTTTTGAGAGTTAGATAAATTCTTACAATTGTTAAATATAAATTACCGTCCGATGTATCCACCAGATGCACCTAATCCATTACGGTCGTCCATTACTCGCTGAGGTTGTGAGCTCACTACACCATCCTCCTTGCCTTTCCAGGTTGATTCATCTTCTTTAAACTGTGATGATCTGCAGAAAGTGCTCTCATCTAATAGGCTAATATTTACTATAAGTATCAACTATGAACTATGTAATGGTGCCAATAGCTCTTACACGCACTAAAACCTTAACAATCCATGCCTCGCCTAATTTCAAGCCTTAAATATCTACATTAAGTTAATAAAAAAGTTTTCGTTCATGAAAAGAAAAAAAAAAAATGGTTTGAAATTGGCATGTAAAGGTCGAGTCAGATGGGGTGCAGGACTCTGAGTCGCAAGCAATGATAGATATCACATTCCATAATGATCCACACCCGTGTAGAGGGTGTCCCATAACACTTTATACAATTTGAAAATGCTGTAGATTGTGAAAAAATGCTAATATCTGAGTGAAACAAAAAGCAGCAGATAGCCAAAACTTTGAAATTTGAATTGATATATAATAATATGATAGCAGGGCAAAAGCAATACATTAAATAATGGGTTTCCATATCTACTGTCTTTTGCAACATGAAAAGGCTGTAGATAATTAACCAAGGCAAAGATTTGAGTGAAAAAGAGTGAAACAAAAAGCAGTCGATAGGGCCATATTCAGCAGATGCACACACCCTTATCAATATAATCAAAACACAAATGCTACCAACTGGCACTATCAACATGTATCGTGGTATTCATTTTGTCAGTTTGCACTTGGTGAATAATGTGGTAGAGTTAACACAAGCACACTCATATCTTCAGCAAGTGCACTTATAGTGTAGGTTAACTACCAAAATATTAATGAAGCATTTTAAGTTGGAAGCAGACATGTTGCGACTACATTGATCATCTAGAATGTGCTTTCCGAATACAGTCCACAGTCGCAACCTCGGACTTTTAACGTAGCATCATAGCCATTGACAAGGAGAGTAATTGGTATACCCACAAACCAAGCAAGGTCCAAGCAATACATGGAACTTTGTGAGTCATGGATATGAACCTGGAGCTCCTGTCAAAACTGGTGATAAAAGTGATAAAGCACAATTGTCAGTATGGGGGTGTCAGCAAAATTTTTATTTTTTTGGGCCATCATTAACCATTAGGAAGTTCATGGGAGAACACTCCACAAGAGTTAAAAGTTTAAGCGGCAGTGTCCCTTAATTTAATCCTTTGACTCTGCTTCTTGGAGGAGAACGAACAAATGGTCACAGGCAACTCTGAATGCTAATGTGCCATGCTCAGTGATTTCCTGACTCCTGAACTACAGCAGAAGGAACTGCAACAGGATGTCTGGTTTCAACAAGATTGTGTGAGACATTTCCAGAAATGTTAATCTCACGTTTGATGATGGCCATTACCTTGCACAGTTACCGTTCTCACAGTCCCTGATTCTTAACTTGGAGCACAATCAAGGAAAGAACTTACGTTCTGGAATAAAAATCAGAGAATGTGTCAACTTTTTAATGATCTGTGTGATGCTCATATTCTGCATGTCAGCTGACTGCTAAAATTATCTGTCCAAAATTTCCTGATATTCTTCATGAACACAGTAATTTGTACTATTTTCTAATAATCTATTTATTTCTATCAATGTTCATTTTAAACTATAACTTTATATAAAGAATTATGTGCATACACTGTACTGTGTTTCAAATATGAAGAACATAAAATATAATATAGAATACCCTTGGAATAAGTAAGATGGATGCAATTATGTTCAAAATGCACAAGAAGACTCACTTGTTGCATGGCAAGACACAAAGACCGCAGCACTTTTCCATTCCAGTCAGATTTTTCTCGGCTTCCTTCATGTCGGCATTAATCTGATCCATACCTTCCTCAATGCGGTCCAGTTGTTCTGAGGATTATTAAAACAGTTCAAGCAATGTGCACTTATTTGTCTTAATAATAGTATATTCTAATTGTAAAACAAGGTTTGCTAGGGATTCAATGAGAAATTCACGAAATAAATGTGCACACAGTAAACATCTTTTCCAGAAACTCCATTCCTGCTGAACAATGAACTACATGTAACTAATAAAGAGAATATGCTTAATACATATTATTTTTGTCTATAAAGGAATAATATTAATAAAACTACTTCTAATGAAATAAATACTATGAAATATATTAATTAATTTGGCTTAGTCAAAAGTGATCCCGTATTTCAGATTTATTATAGAAAAATGAGTGAATCAAGTAAACAAAATAAATACAATTATCACTTTCATTGTTAAAATCTATAACTTATTAGCAGATGCACAAGTAATGCAACAAAATTACTCAAAGCTTTAGCATAATAATATAAACTTATTCTTAAGGCATGAAAATTAAGCTACAAGCACCTATAAAAATACATACTCACTTCCTTGGTCATCTAGATCAACCAATGTTTTAACACCCATTTCTTGACTCTAAAATAAAAGCAAAGGAAAAAAAAACATGCATAATGAGAGAGCAGCAAGCATGCATTTAGCAAATTAAAACCTAATTACAAGGAAACACACAGGAAAACTAAGTAATAATGATTACACCAAAACCTAATAGTGCTACTGTACCACTAAATGCAAACACAACCCTCAAGACTCACACTTCAAGTATTTTCACCTGCTGCTCTACCACCAATGAGCCATTCAACTTAAATTATTATTCATCTCTCCTCCAACAATGAGTGTGTACTACAAATGCCACATTAACAATTGCAGAAAGTGTGTAAACAAATAACAGAAAACTATATAACATGCAACAAACATTAGTACTAATTATTCTTCTTCAAACTTGTTAACTTAATAACACCTCAAGAAATTTCCATTTAAAATATAGATTACATAATGCTTACATCTAAATATATGATTGCTTTACCTCTCACCAAGGCAGGGTGACGCAAAGAAGAAAACACATTCACCACCAGTCAATCACTATTTTGCCAGAAGTGTACTCACTACTCACATTTAGATTACCCTCAGACTGTAGCACTTCCATTTATGAGTCTGCTTTAACTCACAATTATCTTATTGTTAAAAATTATTTAAGTAGTAGACCACCTAAATGGATATATTAAGTGGAGTATTTTACCCTAGTGTGGTTTAGCAGATAATTCTAAGGTGTCCTAAGAAGGCTTGAAACTCTCTGCTACTTCTCTGTGTAGATGCTTTCATGACTTACCAGGTAAGTGTCTCGAAGTGGTCCAGTACTTTTAAAAATATTCAGTGTTTGAGTTGAGGGTAAAAGAGGGCAGTCTGTCTATATTCATCTATAGAATATATGCTCTCACAACATAAAAACAGTATATATTACATTCTTTTATCAAAATAGCACCAAGAGTAGGATGAAGATTAATGGAATAAAATACCAACATGATGGACAAAGACACAAATGAATGAATGAATGAATGAATGAATGAATGTATGTATATATATGTATGTATACATATGTATGTATATATATGTATGTATATATATATATTTTTTTTTTTTCAACAAGTCGGCCGTCATATAAGTATGTATATATATTTATTATTATTTATTATCACACTGGCCAATTCCCAACAAGGCAGGGTGGCCCGAGAAAGAAAAACTTTCACCATCATTCACTCCATCACTGTCTTGCCAGAAGGGTGCTTTACACTACAGTTTTTAAACTGCAACATTAACACCCCTCCTTCAGAGTGCAGGCACTGATATATATATATGTATATATATGTATATATATGTATGTATATATATGTATATATATGTATGTATATATATGTATATATATGTATGTATATATATATATATAGTAGATAAGCAAAACAACCACTCTGAAAGAATAGAGAAATTCCAAGCGCTTTCGTGACTACTCACTATCAAGAACTATGAAAGTAAGCATCCAAGGAAGCTATATAAGGGGTCTGGCCAGCACCTCACTATCAGATCCCACAACGGGTAAACACCTGACGCGCGCCGACCCAACTTGGATAGGTCCTTTGCACAACTCACCCCACAAACTATTCTACCCAAGAAAATTTAAAAATTATTTGTCCAGTGTATTATTAAATTCTTCCCAAATTCTATTAATTATAAATGGATCTAATTTTATAAACCAAAGGAAATATTATATTATTGTCAAAACTGCTTTTTATGAAACAAGATTAAATTTTATTTTCCCTGTCGACCTGGACTTGCTTGATACTACTTTCTCAACTTTTTGAAAAACAGTTGGATGGTTAAAATCTCTTACATGAATAAATAGAGCATTGGAATCTTGTCCAGTTCTAATGCTATATTTATGTTGTTTTAATCTTAATTCGAGATTTTTACCAGTTTGACCGTAATAAACTTTATCGCAAATTTTACAAGGAATCTTATAGACACATCCATCAGCATTTTGGGGGAATTCTTTATCAAAAGTTTTTTTTTACTGTATCAAGATTTTTGATACGACTTTAATATTAAAAGTCTTAAAAAGAGAAGGCATATCAACCAAGTTTTCTTGGTAAGGGGGAACCAAACATATTTTTAGTTGAATAAGGCTGGTTGTCCTTTTTGGATTGTAAAAGTATTTCTAGCAACTTTAAAAGATTTATCAATTACATTTCTTGGGAAATTTTAAAACATTACCTTATTTCATAAATTTTGGATATTTCCTCATCTATGAACTCAGGACTACAAATTCGTAAAGCTCTCAAAAACATTGATGAGAAAACAGACAGTTTGACTCTATCTTGATGCGAGGAATAATAGTGGACAAAGGAACAGTTATTTGTAGGTTTTCTGTAAATTTTAAATTTGAATTCATTATTTCCCTTAATAATTAAAACATCTAGAAAAGGCAATGAGTTATTTTCTTCAAACTCAACAGTAAAGTTTATAGAATGGGCTAAGCTATTTAATTTTCCTAGGAAATGGTGTATATCTACATTTTTGGGCATAGTTCCTTGATAATGTGAGTAGTCACGAAAGCGCTTGGAATTTCTCTATTCTTTCAGAGTGGTTGTTTTGCATATTCTGAAATCACCTGTTTACTGTGATCTTATTGCACGCACACACACACATTAAATATATTATATATTATATTAATATTATATAAAATATTATATATATATATATATAGAGGGAGTAGGTTGGTAGACAGCAACCACCCAGGGAGGTACTACCGTCCTGCCAAGTGAGTGTTAAAATGAAAGCCTGTAATTGTTTTACATGATGGTAGGATTGCTGGTGTCTTTTGTCTGTCTCATAAATATGCAAGATTACAGGTACGTCTTGCTACTTCTACTTACACTTAGGTCACATACACATACGTGTACACGTTTATTTATACCCCACTATCTGAGTTTTCTTTGATTTTATCTTAATAGTTCTTGGTTCTTATTACTTTTCCTTTTATATCCTGGGGAAGTGGAATAAAATCTTTTCCTCCGTAAGCCATGCGTGTTGTAAAAGTCAACTGAAATGCCGGGAACAATGGGCTAGTAACCCCTTTTCCTGTAAAGATTACTAAAAAGAATAAGAAGAAGAAAATTGTCAAAGTGGGAAGTCTGAATGTGCGTGGATGTTGTGCAAATGATAAGAAAGAGATGATTGTGGATGTTATGAATGAGATGAAACTGGATGTCCTGGCTTTAAGTGAAACAAAGCTGAAGGGGGTGGGAGAGTTTCAATGGAGAGGAATAAATGGGATTAGGTCAGGGGTTTCAAACAGAGTTAGAGCTAATGAAGGAGTAGCAATAATGTTGAAGGATAAGCTATGGCAGGAAAAGAGGGACTACAAATGCATAAATTCAAGGATTATGTGGAGTAAAATAAAGATTGGATGTGAAAAGTGGGTTATAGTTAGCGTGTATGCACCTGGAGAAGAGAGAAGCGTAGAGGAGAGAGAGAGATTCTGGGAAATGTTGAGTGAATGCGTGGGGAGTTTTGAATCAAGTGTGAGAGTAATGGTGGTTGGGGATTTCAATGCTAAAGTGGGTAAAAATGTTATGGAGGGAGTAGTAGGTAAATTTGGGGTGCCAGGGGTAAATGTAAATGGGGAGCCTTTAATTGAGCTATGTGTAGAAAGAAATTTGGTAATAAGTAATACATATTTATGAAAAAGAGGATAAATAAATATACAAGGTATGATGTAGCACTAATGAAAGTAGTTTGTTAGATTATGTATTGGTGGATAAAAGGTTGATGGGTAGGCTCCAGGATGTACATGTTTATAGAGGGGCAACTAATATATCAGATCATTATTTAGTTGTAGCTACAGTTAGAGTAAGAGGTAGATGGGAAAAGAGGAAGGTGGCAACAACAAGTAAGAGGGAGGTGAAAGTGTATAAACTAAGGGAGGAGGAAGTTCGGGCGAGATATAAGCAACTATTGGCAGAAAGGTGGGCTAGTGCAAAGATGAGTAGTGGGGGGGTTGAAGAGGGTTGGAATAGTTTTAAAAATGCAGTATTAGAATGTGGGGCAGAAGTTTGTGGTTATAGGAGGGTGGGGGCAGGAGGAAAGAGGAGTGATTGGTGGAATGATGAAGTAAAGGGTGTGATAAAAGAGAAAAAGGTAGCTTACGAGAGGTTTTTACAAAGCAGAAGTGTTATAAGAAGAGCAGAGTATATGGAGAGTAAAGAAAGGTGAAGAGAGTGGTGAGAGAGTGCAAAAGGAGAGCAGATGAAAGAGTGGGAGAGGCACTGTCAAGAAATTTTAATGAAAATAAGAAAAAAATTTGGAGTGAGTTAAACAAGTTAAGAAAGCCTAGGGAAAGTATGGTTTTGTCCGTTAAAAACAGAGTAGGGGAGTTAGTAGATGGGGAGAGGGAGGTATTAGGTAGATGGCGAGAATATTTTGAGGAACTTTTAAATGTTGAGGAAGAAAGGGAGGTGGTAATTTCATG